GTGGCATTTACAGATCCATCTCCATCAACTAATGTCATTCTGTTGTTGTAAACATTTTTTATATCCCTGAGTAGACCAATCCTTTTACACATCAAAATCTTACCTGTTTCACTAACATAGGTGTGACTCCTCATACTATGCCACGTCTCATGCACACTACGAAGCTAAGAGTTCAGAATCACCACTTGATATAGCTACATTTAGAAACCACTGACTACATATTTCAAAAATCGACTTTCGTTTAACCTCGTCATTGCTAATCAAAATGTATCTTTCCATTGATAAGCTAATATGAGGTCGATAAAAAGGATAAAAGGAAGGAGCTCTCGGTGTTGATCAATCCCTGGGATGCGCCATGCATTCGAGTTCATTAAACATCGTCTGGAGGTGATTGGATGCATATCTGGCCTTGGCTCGACGACTCGCGATGGACTACCGATGTATCGAACTATTGTTGATATCCTCCCAGACAAGTCTGGCACCAATTTGTCGACACCGGAGGGATAAAAGGGTTGGTGGACCATGGGTGCGGAGATCGATTCAACGCGTGTGTTGCGGTGCGCCTCCGACCACAGCGCCACACGCACTCTTTACACGAGGTTGATAAAAACTTTATTCGGCTATTTGGTTTCGGCTTTCGCCTTCTTAAAAGCTAGATAGGTACAAGTCGATTGTCCGCAGTCGTTCCTACTTCCGATGTGGGTCTTCGTGTTCTCAACGAATGGAGTCTAGTGGAGCACCGCCCGAATCAAGTAGCCTAATTCGGCAATGCTATTTTATTCATCACGATTATTGATGCTGATTGCCTGCCGATAGTCGTCTTTTTTCCTGCGGACTGTCCATCCTGCAACAGTCGGTATAATTATCAGCTAGTATAATGCGTATGTATGCAGCATGCTACCCGAACAATGTTTTTTTTATTGTTAACCTCGCGTTCCCTTATCAATCAAAAGATCCATCGACTTTGTTAAAAGCCGTTACATAATGTCATCATAATGCTACCAGGATCTTGCTAAAATTTTGGACAATTTTAAGCACCTTTTTTTCAAGGGTATCTCAAAAACAATCTAATACCGTTAAATTCCGATCCCTGTTTGAATTTCGTATCATTCGGAGCTCTTGTCCAAATTTCGTCTGTACCTAATCACTACAGGCCTTTTACATCAGCAAGAAAATTTATTACTTTAAGAATTTTCTGAACTGTTGGATATTAGTCAGTGATCCTAACTTTTATGCATTGCTTTAAATGTTTTGCCATATTCGAACTATTTCGCTGTGCTAAAGCACTTTTTCCGAACAGATCGTTAAACACACCGAATAACGTCTGCATAAGTGTTCGCTAACTGCAATGTTCATCATATAATATTAGTCAGACTTTTGTTTGTTGTCTTTCTGGAGCACATTACATGTCGAAGTAGCCGAATGCACCACTCTACGCTTCTATAGCGCCCTGCTACTTTCTGTTACAGCTGTTTTTTTTATAGTAGCATATTCAACGACCGATTACTTCATGCTGAGCTGTACTTTACCAACACTTTTATACAGCAGCGCTCCTTTGCTATTCGACTCTGGAAGGGAATTCTTAAATTCTTAGTCTTGAAAGAGAGATTATCCTCTTCTTTTCTCATGAGATTGTCTTTCCTCAATATTCCAGCCATTTTCATAGCCAACATTTTTGAATCCTTTAGCTGCTTCGACAATCGTATTTGAATCTTCTCATAATCGTATTTCAGAAATTATGCATTCACTTTTTGCTGTCTTTGTATTTATGACTATGGTGGGTTCAATTCAAAATTTCATAACTATTTCATTTTTTCGGGCGAAATAGATTTTCAGGTGAAAAGCAATGAGAGATCACGAAATGACATTGCTGCTCGAATATTGTCAGATATTCATGCTCACAAGGTATTTATTTCAATAAGATCCAGCTAACAAAAACTGCAGGTTCATGTGAGAATTTTGACTAATCGATGATCAACGAAGGGTTTAGGCGCTCAAGGTTAAAGCGTTTTCTCTGATCTGAAAGTGGTTAGGAATGAGTAGTTTTCAATGACAATTATCTTTCGCGCTCTCATTGTCAAGGGCGCGTGTGGCGCAGTGGTTGGAAGCCCTCTGCGACACGCATGCGCAATTGATCCCCGCGCCCATGGCCCACAAACCTTCCATCCATCCGGGGTCGGCAAATTGGTACGAGACTTGTCTGCGAGGAGAGCAGCACTGACCCAATACATCGGTAGGCCACCGTAAGCCATTTTAAAGGCCAGATATGCATTCAATCACCTACAACGATGCTTAATGAAACCGAATGCATGGCTCATCCCTCAAGGATTGATGAACGCCGAAAGCTTTTTTTATTTTTCTTTTGTTTAACCTCGTAGTCTGAGATGGGTAAATTTTGGGATTCTTCGGAAGGACATCGTAAAACGAATAGTAGGAGAATCAAAATGACAAAAAGAATTACAGCTTCTTCGTCTTTCGACCCAGATTTCTGTTCTACAGATAAAATGAGTGGAATATTATTGTTATGAAATAAAATAATGCGATTTCTCTATCTCTATGGGCTGTTCTGTTCTTGGCATATACAATTGGAAATGAAAATGTTTAGATTACGTCTTTTCCAGCTATGAATACAGCCTGTTTTCTTGGGCCACAAACACGTCCACCCACCTGAGCAGGTGGTCGTGCCACGGGTCGATTTCATCCTAGTGAAGTCCACTCTACTTCATCCTTCACTGTTTGTCTTTTTGTCATCACTTTGCTGGCCCATGTATATTCTGCTTCTGAAATGTGTTAAGGCAGAAAGTGAAAGAAGAGATGATTTTAGGTCTGATTTCGACTTGGTGTTATCTACATAAGCAAACGAAATTCTCAAAATAGCTGCTTAAATATTGGTGGAAAAGATCTATGAAAAAGTTTTGGAATTCTTCCATTGCTTTAAAGCAAGAATAAATCTATTACAGTACAAATGAATCTTTGCTTCGCTGTAATTTAGCATGTGTCGACGTTGGTATCATTTTCCATTATGCGTTACGAATATTTCACTTCATGAAGTTAAAATCTGTGAAAAGAAATAGAGGATACCTCTCAAATGTATTTCGTAAACTATCCCTTAAATATGGGAAAAGGAAACAACTTAAATGATCAGTTTGCAATGCGATTCCCATAAATCCGGAACTAATACGGGGTGGTTCTTCTTCCAGTGGTTTCCTAAAAGTAAACTTCCTCATGAATCTAAATCCACTTACTCACCGCACTCGAGCAAATCGAAAAGGTTCAGTTCCGCTTAAACGAAATGCTTTCTGTGGTCGCGTTGGTATCCGCATTTCTGCTAGAAGAACATGCTGCATGAGTCTAATTTGGTTATCTCTTCAGGGTCTTTTTTCATGATCCGATATTACAGGTACTTTCACGGATCCTAGAACTTTTTTTATTTAATTTCTTTTCTTGCATACTTCATGCACAGAATTTTTCATTTACGATTGTGAGTTTAACTGCTACTGTTTGGAGACCTTTCGCCCTCTTTATGAATGTAGCTGTTTTGCTAATCGAGTCGACACTCTTTGGAATTCTGGTATAGCCGTGCAAGGGTGGTTCTAACGTCACATGAATCCGAGGGAGTTTCCTAGCTAAGTCTATTGCGGTTTCTATGTTACCCCTGAGGGATTGGAGGCATGGTTGGCTTGATACCACGATGAACCAGCTATTTGTGCGTTTTAACCACGCCGCTTTCATTACGCTAGACACATACCCACTATCTATATAAACTAAACACTACCTTACTGATTCATCTAAGACTAGAATATAAGTAAGCTTCAGAGAATTGAGCAATTCCAGTAGTAAAGATGTGAACAGAATGAACAGAATCCCTCAACACACTTTTGTATTTTTATCTCTCTATTAATTTTGTAGAAACGTTTCAGTTGGCGCTGCATTTAGGGAGAATGGGCAGCAAACGAAGCCTACAGAAAGCAAGAAAGTTAAATATCAGGCACTTATGAGAAATAAATGGAAATGCTTAGATTGAAGAACACTCCTTAAAGAAAATTTACATTGCATCGCCGCATCTGAGTGGAAAGAACTCAGATTTATTTAGCAATAATAGCTTGGTCTTGGAGGAGGGCTTACAGCATACATGATACTTGTCGAACAGTCATTTCCATTACGATGTAGTTCGTGAAATGGAGCACCATCGGTTCGCCATTTGCATAACAATGAATGTAAACACTCGAAATACGATTATGGGTAACCTATTCCGTACGAAAGAGAATTGTTGGATAACTTTAATGATGCTGAGATATTTTCAAAACTCCGGACCGCAGGTGTCTGCGGTGTGGAACGAACGCGCTATTGTCCTATCCGGGGAGTAACGCGTTCACCACCACACTACGCGGGACCTTCGTTTCGCCTGTCTCTCAGCTAGTTCTATCGATCTTTTGCCATCAGCAATCACCCGTCAGCGAAATTGATCTGGCAGCCCGAATCGGCAACGAACCCAGTTAAGCAGATGGCAAAAGATCGATAGAACTAGCTGAGAGACAGGCGAAACGAAGGACCCGCATGGTGTGGTAGTGAACGCGTTACTCCCCGGAAAGGACAATAGTGCATTCGTTCCCCACCGCAGACACCTGCGGTCTGGAGTTTTGAAAATGTCTCAGCATCATTTAAGTTATATTTCGCAATATACACCCTGCCGTTAAAAAGAGTAGGCAGTAAATAATAAGTTAAAATTGTTGGATAGTTAACGTTCCTCATTTGTACACTGGCATTAGTGAAGGAAAGTATCACAAGGCAGAGTTTCAAGTCAAAATATTCAAAGAAGTTGTAGATAGTTAAACACTCTTCATCGACAATCAATATAAAGATCTCTTTTTTGATGCCTTTTTTACTTTTTATTGAAAATATGGTATAGCACCTTTAAGTATTTTGACATATGTGCGAAAGATACGTTACTAAAGTGTGCATGATGTCTTTTCCACTCGACTACTTTTCGTGACAAGCGGATGTTCCCACCACTCAGCCGAATTGAAAGCCGTAAAACTGGTGGTGTGTCGAGTATGAATCTGGTGAAAGAAATGGGACAGAATTTAGGAGAATTTTCAGTATCTCTAAAATATTCAGGACTGAGGCAATTTTTTTCGCCATTTGATAGCCCTCCCAAAGGTTTGCCGCCTCATCGGGGCTGGAAGGTGTTCATGGGTATCGTACTGCGATGAATAGCGGCGGATTCATCCACTGGCAGGGTCTACCAAGCTCGGATGAACTTCGGCGTTTCCACCAGGAACCTTCGCTAAGAGTAAACCAATACCAGGATTCATCACCGTCCTGGTATCAAAGTCGCACGGTGGTAAATCCTCTTCTGATCAACAAAGGCTGCGGCTGCCTTTGGTGATGAAGGCCTGAAGCAGACTTTGGTCTGACTGATCACGGGATTTCAGGTAACCACAGTGGCCTAACCAGCAAATCTCCGAAAAATGGAGATTATGTTGTGGTCAGCACAACCAGTGAGGACGAGCCATTCAAATACCAAGTACCAAGTAACGTTTGATAACTTGATTTATTCGGAGTCTTTCTTTAGCATGGGGTCAAGATTTGGTTCGGAAAATTGCTTTTGAATGAGAAATCTACAAATGCCATCTTAGGCCCCGAGAAGAAATTCCAAACTAGGTGCCAGACTGGCCTTGAATTCCGAGTAAAGTAAGAAGTACGGCGGTAATCTTTATCACGTTATTATAGTTTAGGTGGTGATCTACAGTAAGACATACTGCTCGTATAGTCAGAAGTTGAAAAAGCTACTAATTCCATACCCAATCAAGGATCTCAAAATTGTCGAATTGGACGAGCAGAAGGAGATGGAACCAATGCAGGTAGAAACGGTCGTACATTGTAGGCTCGACCAAGTTCTGTATCATCCTTAGAACTGGTCATATTAAAACTTAAGCTGATAGCAGATAGGAATGATATCTGACAAAGTTGATGAATTCTAGATGGTTCTCGAGCGTATAACGGGCCGTTCCACTGTGCCACAGTTATTTATTGGCGGCGATTTTGTGGGCGGTCATGATGAGACTCGTGCCATCGAAGATCGAGGAGATCTAAGGAGACTTCTGAAAAGTGCACAAGCGTTATGAGGATAAAGAGTTCCTGCACAGTGTGAAACTTGTCGACACACTTGCCCATGATTTCTGTTCGTCCAATTTTCTCATCAGACGTATTTTATTCAGCTGTAATAATTTATCACCCTCATTTCTCCACGTCCAGGTAATGTTCACATGACCACTTCCAATATTTTTACGCCTTTGTAACACTATGTGTGATTATCGGGAAGAAAAAAGAAAGCCGTTGTTTTAGGTACTTTTGGATGTATTTGAACGTTATTTATGGCATCATTAAAAAAATTTTGTACATTAATTATTGAATGGAATAGTCATCATGAATTTATAACAATGATCATACTAATAGTACCTAATAAAGAACTTGCCCATGCTTTCTCATGATTTCATTGCTGGTATCTAAACCTTTTCCTATATGGCTTTAATCTTGTGCTATTTATTTGTAGATGTATGGTTTACTCTATATATGTATCTGTACGTATGGTAAAGGGTGCGTGTTGCACAGTGGTAGGAGGCGCCTTGCAACACACGTGGAATTGATCCCCGCGCTCATGGCCTACCAAACCCTCTATCCCTCCGAGGTAGGCAAATTGGTATTATACTTCTCTGGGAGGATGGAAGCTTCGGTCTCGATACATCGGTAGGCCATTGCCAGTCATTGTAAAGGCCAGATGTGCATTCAATCACCTCTAAACAATGCTTAATGAAGTCGACTGCATGGCGCGTCCCTCAGGGATTGATCAACGCCGAGAGCTTTGTCCTTTACCTTTTATGGTTTACTCTATGTAGCAATGCCGTTTCTTTTTCTGTCCAACACTTCATGATGCGTAAGTAATGGATAATCATCATTTCTCAGAAAACATGTGCACTTCTTTGCGTTCCCGATCACATTCAGATTCCTTGACTGTTTCAGGGCACAGAATCACTGAAACATAACGCGTTGCGATGGTTTTTCGTAGAATTCATAATTTACAGCCACGTGTAGGTGTCTTCCGTATCTCGTTATGGCTATTCTTCCAAAAATTTTCGAATTATTAGAGCATTTTCGAATTTGCAGAGTAATATCATCATATTTCTAGTACTAGCGAAACCCTTCACCACTCGTATTCAATGCTGTTACAACTATGTAACTTAGGTTGAATCGTGAGCACACGAATACATAATTCTGCTTCCAACGCTTTCTTAAAAACTTTGTTAATAAGACGTTTTAGTTCAGAATTTGTTTGCATAAATCGGTATATGTTGTAGTCGTCTAAAGGACATGTTGAGTCATTAGAAGCAGTTTACGCCGTTCTTCGTAGTCTTCAGTCTGTTCACTTCCTTCAAGGATCCTTCGGTTTCCCGACACTAAATAATTGATTGTGGAACATTTCGACGAGACGACTGTGCTGTAATACCGGCTTATCACAACGCACCTTGCCAAATTAGAAGGCGCATCACATCTTTATCATCCATTCTCAGTAGCAGAGTTTTTCTCTTGACATTTCTGGAGCCTTTTCCTCACAAAGGCGGTCACCTTTGTTTTTATATGGTTGTTTAGCGAGCGCCGTTGTGGAACGCATGGATGAGGTTCGATGAGTATTTCTAAAACCGAGGCGGACATTGAAAACCGGTCGCCGACAGTTTTCACGACATTGTCCACCATAAACACGAACTCACTATGCTACTGATTCTACATTTCGTCTAGAACGCCCTACTTATAAGCTTCTTCTATGCTGGCGTTCCGTTTAGTTTTGGTCTTACTTAATTGATACCATAAGGTTTTGACTTTTATTTACTGCTTCTTCATTTTTTATGGCAGGATATAAAGAGAAATACAACGAAAACTATGCTAAGATATGAGTGGAACTCGGAACATCGGCTTGGCTTCGAACCCATCATCTTTCTGGTGTTTCGCTTGCTATCAACCACATCATCCGAGGCTCATGTTTTGCATTTCCCTCAGTCAGTTTTTCTTTACTGTAGCGTTGCTGTCAGAAATTACCTGTAAATGGGAATAAATTTTAATTGGACGTGTTATATTCTTATCCGCAGACTCTTAGAATAAGTCATTTGCTGTGGTAGAAACCTTTTTATGTTTCCAGTGAACCGCGCTGTGGTAACTATTGAGTCTTTCATCCACTAATCAACCAGAACGTAACGATTGTTGATTTGTCGTATGGTGGTAAATTTCCCTCTGATCCACAAGAGCGGCGATTGCCTGTGGTGCTGACAACCTGGAGCAGACTTTAGCCAGGCTGACTTCGGGATTCCAGGGAAAGCCAGTGGCGAAAACATCAGAACTCCGAAAAATGGAGAATATGGTGTGGTCCGCATAACCTAGCGAGGACGGGGCATCCAAGTATCCAAGTAAGTAAGTAGCTGCTATTTCAAGGAGTTTGTTGATGTTGTATTGAAAAATTAGGTGGCCAAATAAATTTCAACTTCGATATATCGAATAATCCAGATATCTTTTTAGATTTTGCAAAATTGTAAGCTTTATTACGTGCATATCACTACTATTGTCGCAAACTGTAGCATTATTGTTTGATTTTAAAGAATTTAATAACAGTCACCTCTGCAGTTTTGCTTTCATTCGAGGTTAAGATGCTCCGTTGCAAATTTCTCGCTCCGTACAATATTCCGTACAGTTGGTAGGCACTCTAACTGTATAAGATTACACTTCTACTGATCAACTGACTTTCTTTGTACACAATTTTTGCTCTCTTTTGGTTCTGTTCAATTAGTTGAAGCTTCTTTCGCGTCATTCTTCGGTATTCATTTTTCACGCATTCATATCAAGTTATGTTTGCCACTCTTTCTTATTATCCCTAAGATGATTGTTTTTCTATTAACCTCGGCATTGATTGAATAATTCTTTGTACTTCTGTTCAGCAAGCGCGATGTGTTATTTTTATTCTTTATTCACGAATAAATTGACGTTTCGGCGGATTTCGCCTTCCTCAGAGCCTGGAAAGGTCAAGTTGACAGCAACCCATTCGGCCAGACACCTCCAGGAGTAGAAAGAATGGTCGTTTTTGTTCTCGAAGTTCTCCTAATGATCGAGAGAAAGCATATGTCTATCATATCGCCTATCATGTTGTTTATTATTGAGGGAATTTAATACGTTCATCACGTTTAAGAAGTTCACTTATAGTTATGCACGTTGGACATTTTACACGCAGTATGCTAAATTACAAGTCTTCATGAGTAAGAAGGTTACCAAAATGTCTAGTTGATTGGCATTTTGCTCAGAGAGTAGTTTTTCACAAAGGTCTCTGAATAGTCGTGCAAGAATCATTAGTAGGATCAGCTTCCGTCCGTTGAATACCAAAAAGTATTCCACGTTTCGATTAGTGTTTCTTCCAGCGTGATGGAGATTACCTTCATTGGTTTAGTGTCAAGTCGTCTTTCAGATGGAAGTCTAAAGAAAGAAGAATTGGCTTTAGGTTCAAATGGTTTTGCCGTGTGATGAACTCGTTCTGTGCATCGCTGTCCCATATCCAGGCAAACCCTCTCACTCCGGCTTGGCGCCATGTCATTCAAAAGGATATCTGTAGCAAGAGATTTGTTGCGCCCTTGAACATGCATGCAAGCAACAAATAAGTTCGGCACCCATTAGCGAAAAAACGGCTTTGATGTAAATCGTCATCCTTAGCTATTAAAACTTCTGTGATAATAAAATGTTGACGTTTCTAGATGATTCATTTGGTAATACCAGTTAATATGAAGGTGTGCTACTCATTGTTCTTCGCTTTTCTTCATTCTTCATGATAATGTTGAGATTCGGATCAAGTAGTCCGTTAACTTTCCCACTTCTATGCGCAGATGGAGAACAGTTCTAGATTTACCGCTTTGTTTTTTGTGAATAAGAGATCTCTTTCAAGCAAATAACCTCCAAATGATTAATTGCGAGGTTATATGACATAGCCTTGGATAGTGTATATATGGTTAAACGCGCATCAAGAGCGACCATGTGCGTGACAGTAACTGGGTGGATTCAGTAGACGAAATCCATCTCAGCCGTGCCGGATTAATACCTTGTATATAAATCATATTCCTGCATACGTGCGCAGATGTGCTTACGTGTATGTCGATTGTTTCTTTCATCTTGATTCAGTCTTTCGTGTAAGCACGTAACTAGGAAGTACATAAGAGATGGTTCAAGGTCGCATGCAACAATTAAACTTCACGTATGCCAAAGGAATTGCCTATAATCTTGTCACAATTGACTTATCCACAAAAACTATAAGAACAAAGAACGTCATACGAAAGCTGTGATTGTGTTCGTATTGTTCGTATCTGTTGACTGGGCTGAGTTCGCTGATCTAACCAAGTGTGCACCGCGGATAAATGCAGATTGTACTGGTTTTCTATCGAGTCATTCGATCATTAGGGAGATTAAAAATTTATTTCCGCATAAGCCGTGTCTAGATTCTCAAGCAATCGGAATTTTGGAAGGAGTTTGAAGTCCGTGACACTTTCATTGAAGTAAGTAAGACGTCCCACTGGAAATACATAACTTTTACATAAGCAGCATCATTTCATTGTATATGTTTATCTGTGGAACCTTCCTTTTCCTGTATTGTGTTTTTTTGAGCGTTGCAGGTACAACAGGTACAACATTTACCATCCAAATGACCACTACTGAACAATTTCGAAAGAGACACGTTATGCGAATTCTCATTCCAACCTTGATAATAGATATGCTAGCATTTACTTGTATATTACCCCTATTTCCCAGTATATTAAATTTTTATGCAAGGAGCGGCAGTCGAGTAAGTTCTATTTGAATTTTAAGTAAAGTTTTAAGCTATCAAGTTGCGAAAATATTATGTTAAAGGATTACCTGTACGATCTGTTCATTTCTTTCTTGAAATCATTTCAAAGTGCCATTGGTGTTCCGCACAATGAACGGTATAATAATGTATTTTTTGGAGGTATGTAGTTTTCATTTGCGAATTTCAAGATTATAGTCAATAACAGCTCACAAGTGTTTTAGGATTACTTGGTTCAATGTTCAGTGCACTTCAATTTCTTTCATCCCCTGGCCTTGGAGCCCTTTCGGACATTTACGGCCGACGAACGATGTTGCTTCTATCATGCACTGGAACGTTGATTTCGTATATTGTGAGGGAATAGTTACTAATTAGCTATGCACTAATGTAGAAGGGACGCGTGTAGCGCAGTTGTCGGAGGGACCGTGCAATATACATGAGGTAGATCCCTGCTCCCCAGGTTGACCAAGCCTTCCGTCTCTCGGGGGTCAGCAAATTGGTGTCAGACTTGTCTGGGAGGATGGCAGTAGAGTAGTGGCTTGATGCACCTGTGGGACACGAGTTATTGTAAAGATCAGATATGGATTTGGTCACTTCTACGATGTTAATGAAATCGATTGCATGGCCCATCCCTTAGTGATTGATCAACGTTGAGATCTTTATCCTTTTTTAGCTGTGTAGCGACTAGATCTTTTACTTAACACATTTCAGATCTGGCTAAAAGCTGAGACATTTTCAATATTCTTTATATCTCGTATTATTGGTGGTTTCAGTAAGTCGAACGTCAATGTAGCCACCGCTATTGTCTCCGATGTCTTTAAGCCAGAAGATAATCCAAAAGGAATGGTTGGTATTACCAAATTTCAACTATATGATAGCTATCGCTCGAACTCTGTTTTACGTTGTGCTGGTACATTGCCTTCCATCTTCATTTTTGTATCTTTGAATTTCCGATGAATCGGGAAAAGATGGGATAGAATTTTCGAATTCGGCTTGCTAGATTGTTTTTGAACCGTCATTTTACTAGGCACAGGATTCGTCATCTCCCTGGAAAAGCATACTCGCAAGGCAGAAAACTTTATCTCAGCTGTAAACGAAGCCGTTGCGCGTGGTTTGGAAATGAGAACTTCCGAGAGCTTCTATCATCCCCGAAGCACTATGTAAACTGTTTCCGAATATGTATAGACAGTGCTATGTCAATCTGCTCGGACCGTGACCTTCATGTTCTTCTAGATGCCGCATACCGCAGGAAGAACAGAGAACATGAAGGCCATGTTCTAAAACGATGTTTTCACCCCTTCAAGAATCTAGAGGCGGGGAAGATGTCACCCGGAAAATGAACGAATTAATACCGTTAATAGACACCTACAAATATCGCCACCTGTTGATGTAGAGCTCCACATATTTTATAGAAATGTCAAACAACGAGTTTTTAGGCAGAGATGCTTGTAGAAATTCGTTGCCGGCGACTTCGCTGTTAGGCTAGAAGCGATGCAAAATGAGGTGTAGAAAATCGGAGATTTTCGACTACGGCATGGCTGTGAAAGTGCACTGTATTGTATTACTGTTTTCTATTTTTTTCGGCTTGTCGCTTGAATAGAAATACGTTTTTTCGTGGTGAGCATTACCTCCGGATCTGTGAATCCTTAAACGTTTCGGCTCATGCAACGGTCAGTTATATCATTGTGGACAGAAAACTCGATCTGTTCGACGTCGACATCAGTTAATTTTTTTCACTGGTTCAGACGACTGACTTTGCGCAAGCATTTTCTTTATTCACGGAACGAAGAACAAATCATGCCTTTGTATAGGGAAAGAAGCCCGATGCATTAACCTTGTCTTCAATGAGCCCTAAGGAATAAGTAGCGGCGCAAAATGCAAGAGAAGAGTACGAGGTATTGCTGAATTCTCTCCGAAGTTGAGTTAAGAAAGGTCTTGATCCAAAGTTGAGCTCTGAGCGTTTGTCAATCAAGAGAAGAAAGCTTTTGAAGAAGAGGATATAACTGCACCAAAACCATGCCTCTACACACATCAGACAGTTTGACATCAACGTCATTTGAAGAAAGACAACGCGAAAATATCCCCCAGTGATATCGGAAGGCGAGAATTTTAGACGTAGCACTAAAAGGAGGAAGCACAAAGAAATGCCGTCAGCATCCTTGATAGTACATTATGCATCCTACTTTGCTCGATGAATAAAGCCGAGTTACAAATCCCTGTCGTAAATTGGAATAAATGGCAGAGATCTCGATCTACAACTCAACAAGAGTTGTCGAGTTGCTACGACGATGTTGCCTGCAGAAGCTTGTGCTTGAATTCGAAGCCAGGAGTATGGCACAGTTCTGGTGCCACGTAATATTTCAGGCGATATTCTGCGAGCTGGTCACGTCCACCTATGCTCTCGTATTGTATACACATGACATTATGCAGGAAAGTCGAACAGAAACCTGGTTATTGTAATAAATAACACCCAACATATGACTTCCTTCTTTGGTTTTCATACTATTGAGGCAAATAAAACTTATGATTTTCATGCGAATCTTTTGCTAGAGATTTCATCAGCGGTCTGCCATACTTTGCTTGGACAGAATTTGGGAAGTCTTTAGCGGAGGTTCTTGTGAGTCTCTAACGAAGATTTGCATGAATCTTCATGCAATTCGCAGAGACCATGAATAATTCCTTGAATCAAACGTTCGTGTCATTATGTGAAGAAATGACGATGGCTTGTTAATCGACGTGCTTTCGACGATTATGTTGTTACTGTTGTTGAATACGTTCCCACGAGAAAACGACCAAATTATTTGTTGCGTTTCATCTTTCAACTGTCCCATTTGTCGAGCAAAATTATGGATGCACAATGGCGATCGAACTGACCCTTTCGCGACGAAGCTTGTTTCTCGGCAACTGACGAGAATTTCTCGATCAGTCATGCGTTTCAGGAGTTGAGACGTGCACAGATTTAAATACGAGGCTTCGCTTTATAGCATTAGTGGTATTTTCTATTTATATGCGGTGTCATTTCAAACTTAGACATGTTTAGAAATAGGATGTTCAATGATTAAAAATGAAATTGACCCGGATGGTGTAGTGGTGAAGTGCGCTGCTCCCCGGTAAGGACAACAGCGCGTGTTCGTTCCCCACTGCATACACCTGTGGTCCGGAGTTTTGCAAATATCTCAGCATTTCATACGAGTTATAATTCGAAACATACCCTGCCATTAAGAAGAAAAAGGCAGTAAATAAAAGAGTTAGGATTGAAATTTAAAGTTTTGAAGTTTTCAACGCAAGAGCTCCAACTCCATGCATAAGCGTAACATTGGCTGAGCACCATCGTATTCTATTAGACGAAACCAGTTTGTTTATCTGCTTTTATGTTGGAAATATGAACCTGGAAGAAAAAAGTGGAAGAAATATATATATCGTGGGCTCTAGAGAATCACTATTTGATCATGTTAAGGGGGGAGAACTTTCATACGGTAAACATTTTCTGATTCTAGTATTGCATAAAGTAGAACCGTTAGTTTGAATCCCAATGCAAAGGTAGCAATGAGAAACTAGTGAGGTAAGACCCACACCTTTAGGCACTTATTGGCATCTCGTATTCCATTGGATTCCTTGTCGGGCCTATGTTTGGCGCATATTTCTCAACAGTTGCTCCAAAGGTATGTTAAGACGGTTCTCCTTTATATTATATTATCTAGTCTAATGTTTTATTTTGTTTTCACTTGTTCTACGTTTATTTATTATTACTATTTATTTATTATTCTACCTAGTAAAGGGCGCGTGTGGCGCAATGGTCAGAGGAGCCCTTCAACACACACGTAGAATCGATCCTCGCACCCCTGGCTCACCAAACCTTCCATCCCTCCGGGATCGGCAAATTGGTTTCAGACTTGTTTGGTTGGATAGCAGCACTGGCTTGACACATCGGTAGGCTACCACGAGTCATTGTAAAGGCCAGTTATGCATTCAATCACCTCCAAACGACGCTTAATGAAGTCGAATGAGTGGCGCATCTCAGGGATTGATCAACGCCGGGAGCTTAATCCTTTATCCTTTATCTAGCATCCAGTATTTTTTGAAATCTTTTGTCCTGTATTTCTTTCCATTTTGCTGTCTTCTATACATATGAGGATTTTAGGATGCTTTGTACACTACTCCTGCCATATTTTCTATTGTCCTTACAGTTATTCATTTTTTCCTAGTGGCTTTCTTGCTTCCGGAAACGTTGGAATATGTGGAAGAGGTCAGTGAATATTATAGTTTCAGAAAAACTATGAACGTCTGGTCGTGAAGTTATATACTCAAGAGAATTTGTTCTTTTACTGGAAATAATTTTAATTCTTCTTTCTTTTCCCTAACTATAATTCCTAAATGCATAAGTAAGATTAAAGCACGGGTTGAGAATCTACCACCTCATCGTACTTGGTGGCAGAAGTTACAATATCGGCGGTTGACACGCGCTCTACAACATGGCTCATTCCATCGGCATGTGTCACCCATGCAAAAAACATTTTAGTATTTCTGTCTGATAAATCACCTAGGTGTATACTTATGGCTTGGAATAGTCCGGCGAATTAACCATTACTACCTTGTCGCCAAACGACCTCGAAAATGGGGTTATGCCAAAAGTGATTTTGTTCATGTCCCTTGAGAGAGTGGGGCACACCAACCACCGGTGTCCAACGAAGACAAATAGAGTACACTGTTGGTGGCACCACAGTTGTCCAGTGGGTTGTGCTAGCTTGAGGATCACCGGACTTTTCACATTTCGCTTACGACGCTCTTTATATTTTCTCTTTTTGATGAGGCAGTAGCCAAAGTTATTCCGCAGAGCTTTGCTGTTTGGTTGAACGTAATAAATCATAGCTTCTCGGGTTCTCTCGGTGAATACGTGGGGCTCTGTTGAAGACGAAGTCAAACCGACTACCCACGCGCGTTCTGTAGTCACATGATTGCATGTTTTTAGTCGATTCGATATGCAAGATACAATCTGCGTCCACGCTGAGCACACTGCAGACGTGTGCATCATTCCGATTACATGTATATGAAACGTGTAAGTCTATCTGGCGTAGCACAGACAGCTATTGTACCCCACTTGTTCTGCCTTTGGAGTCTCAGAAAACGTACATGATCGCCTTTGGTCTGTGTTTTAATACGGAATGAAAGGTCTGTGAAGAAGTGTACTATCTTAATATCTGTTTTTTAATCCCCCATGTACCCTCGCTGTGAATTGGTTCAATATCCTCAACAAGAGATGTATTGTTTATCGTAAGAGGAGTGTTGCTTTCGATGTAGCACTGAAGTACTGATGCTTTTTTCCAAATATTCACCTCTAGTGTATCGTGAAGAAAATGATACTACGGACGTGTTTGTATACAGTTATAAAACATCACAACGAATTTTTAGAGGAAGTTTGGACAAATTAGTCGAACAGCAAGCCAATTCATTTCACCACTTGAGCTGTTCAGGTTCTCAGTTATTGATGCACCAGAAGAAAGTGAAGTTTTGTGAAATTGCCCACCAAATCCTAAAAATTTAAATTTCGTAACGATATTAGTCATTCAGAGAAACGCCAAATGAGAAGGATTGGAGTTATATTCTTCATTTACTTATTCCTTTATGCTGGGCTAGAATTCACACTGCCATTCCTTACACACTTGAGGTTTAACTTTGATAAGTAGGCTGTTACATTAATTCATGACTTTGTCGATGACCTGACCTCTGACATATCTTTATTTCCAGTATGCAACAAGGAAAGATTTATTTGTTCACTGGTCTTTTGATGTTACCGATTCAAGGTTATGTTGTTCGGAAAACTCCAATGAACAGGTGGACAACTGGTTATTTGTAGTGACTTAAATACTTATTTTCTACTGGACTTGAAAACGTCTTCGTTTTAAGGCAAAAGCATGTCGCAGAAATTGGTGTTATGTGCATAGTTCCGGCATTTCTGGTGATTGCCTTTGCCACTAATAAATTTACTCTCTATCTGGGACTTTTCTTATATGCTATAGGTGAGAGTGTTTGTAGATGATGTATTGAAATGCATATCGAATGTTTATTTTTCAGCATCGGCAACCGTAGTAAGTTGTCTGACATCGCTCATTTCGGCAGTGCATTCATGCCCAGACAAAGGAGCTTTAGCAGGGGTTTTTCGAAGCATCGGAGCCCTAGCCAGGGCACTCGGACCGATTATCGCATCTACTGGTATGTGCAACACTGCTGCAAAGATCTTTTATCAATATAGTAGTTTTCGCCATTGATATCACAATTTCAGTTTTCTGGTTGACTGGACCAACTTGCTGCTATGCGACTGGAGCTGCTCTTCTATTGATCCCGTTGATTCTTCTGACAAGGCTGGAAAATCCAATATATGAATCAAAAAAGGTTTCCTAGGCTATTTCACCTACTTTTTTGTCCTAATTCTGCATTTCTAAGAAATTTCCGTATGGTATTATTTATACAATATAATGACGGAATCTCATGTGCTCTATAATAGATTGTTTCATCAGAATTCCTCACGGGAGCATTATTTGGTGTCTGTTTTCTCATTTCGTTCTTTCACTTCATTTTTTATGTAATGTTATGTCCCAGTGAATGTTTTGTTAAAAGACTCTTTCTAGATGTCTAGAATCACAATATGGACACAAACAGAATAGGAGAGCAATATGAGTTATGAAGGATCAGAAATTATTTTCTCTAAGCAGAGGAATAATCATTCTTCATCTCAACTGTGACGATTATGCGTCATACTTATAGCTATTTTTAATCACATTTCTAGCAGCGAAACGATTGAACCTACGAAATCTCGTCAGGAAGCGAATGCTGTGGCTAAATATAGCTAAAAATATTGATAAAATTTGTGGCTGTTCCCTTTGGACTTTTGCGGCTCCATCGCAAATTTGGAGAGTCCAATTTTCTGCATCGAAAGTTGTTCAAGAAGAAGCCACTGACATTTTTGTAGAACAAAGTCTCCCGTGTAAGTCTGTCAATTCCTCAAGATCTCAAATACTCGAGTTATCGAAAAACCAGCCAGCATCATAGTTAATTTATTAGAAACTGACGCGATAACTATGAATTCGTTCTCACAACTGGTAGGTTAGACCGTGTAACAGCTTTAGAATACGAAGAATTCCCGAGCTGCTCTTTTTCTTATGATGGGTAGTGAGCGGTTTATGTGCGAGTATGGATAAAGGATAAAGTTTTACAAATTCGAGTTAAATACCTCCAAAATTAAATCGAACTTTATAATAAGGACAGTTTTCCGAAGCTGTGTATACAACTTTGACCTTGAAAAACCATGTTTTCATAAACTAGGGCTAGAATGGACTAATAAACTCTTCATGGCCCTATGATCTTCGCAATCCTTATGAGCGGTATCGTCCACATTTGGGGCGAGGTCATCCTTATCGAGAGCTGGTGCGCCATCGACATTGATCCCTCCTTTCCAGGATATGTCATCATTAAGAGTAATGTGAAAGGTAAGGTGAGAATGAATACTGTACAAACGGCAAGGATGAATAGGAAAGCGTGCATGCCGGACTTATTCTATAAAATCTATCAACGATATCAGGAATATGAATGTGTCGTTTTCTTGTTCAGCAGTCGCGAGGTTTTTAAACAGCATGCATTTACTTCCATAGAAAAACACAATACAATACAACGCTAGCTGACGTTTCGGCAGTATCGCCTTCTTCAGAGCTTGGAAGGGTGTACTGATATACAATCTACTAGGCCAAACGCTTCAATAACACTTACAAAAAGACGAAAAACTCTCAGCATTCTTGAAAAACCCACCACTTTTTCGTGACTTCCAATGAGTAAGATTAGAACAGCCGATTATAGTCGCATGTGGTTGATGACTGCCCCATCCCACATTAGAACCTTGTAGATTGTATATCAGCATGCCCTTCCAGGCTCTGAAGAAGGCGATACTGCCGAAACGTCAGCTAGCGTTGTATTGCATTGTGGTTTCTTGTGGAAGTAAATGTATGCTGTTTAAAAACCTCGCGATTGCTGAACAAGAAAACGACACATTCATATTCCAATGCCGAGGTTAATAGAAAGTCGACCCTGGGAACGATATCAGGAATATGATTGAAGAAATGTGTCGTATCACGAGCACCACAAACAATCACTTATACATGGCCATACGTGAATTTCAATTGGTATCGAAATGATGCTGATAAAGTTCGAAATGATTTGAGCGCTATAGTAGCATTCATAAGGTTCAATAATTTTTATTACACGACCTCTCGTCACATTCATTGCGCAGATCCCAGCATATCTTGCACTCGATTCATCCCCTCGCACCAATCATCCTTGTAGGTCGCTACGCTTGATGCTTGAGGATTGTCGTCTCTTTATGAATGTCGTAGAATGCTAGTCGAATCGATTATCCTAGAGTATTGAGAAAGCAGGGCTAAAAACTCCCACCTGGATTGCAAGGAGTGAATTGTCGCCATACAAAACTGATATCAATTTCCAGATACCAGAGGGATCACAGGTTTGGATAAACCGGACGGAATCGAACCAGCACCGTGCTTGTGATGTACGGAATCACTACTACTTCTCCATCGGCTTTTGGTTGAACAATTTATCAGTAAAATTTCGTCTTTTAAGTCTCATAAGAGTTTCTGCTAATTCTGACATTATCTCAGCAATGGTCTGATTATAAGCTAACGTTGCATCTGTGAGAAGAATGATGAAAAATAAGACATTTGCCTGACCTTTCGTTGTCTTAACAGGAGAAGAAAGAAGGAGATCACAATGATTTCATCACCTCGTTATCATAACGATGTCCACATTTAAAGCTGCTGCAATAACTGCAATAATATAGCTGTGGGATCATACAGAATGTGCAATCCGATTGTAAAAATCTGTTTCATTCACCTTTTTAGTAGAATAAAGTGATTGAAAATGAAAATACCTCCGGAAAGGGCAATCCCTGGTTCGAATGTCTCTTTGGGTTTGGATTTTACAAATATCTCAGCTTCATCGTAAATGAAATGATTACGTTAACTTTTTATTTACTGCCTACTACAATTTTTCACGATAGGGTACTATGTGAAATTCAGTCATAACGATGAAGAAACATTTGCAAAACTCTGGACCGCAGGTGTCTGCTGTGGGATCGAACAAGCCATTACCCTTTCCGATAGCTAACCCGTTCACCAACACACCATGCTGATCCTTCATTTCGCCTTTCTCCTTGCTAGTTTTCTATCTACTAGTGCCAACAGCCTCAGCTTAACTGGGTTCAGTGCCGATTTGTGCTTCCCAGGTCAACCCCGATGATGGGTGATTGCTGATGACACTTAGATAAAAAACTAGCTGAGGGAAAGGTAAACCGAAGGACCCGCGTGGTGTGGTGGTGAACGCGTGAACGCCTTAGTCCCTTGAAAGGGTGATAGCGTGTTTGATTCTCACAGCAAACATCTGTGATCTGTAGTTTTGTAAATATCTCAGCATCGTTGTTGTTGGAACGGTTAACTACTGGTGGTTTTAGAAAAAGCATTCAATTGGTAAGAAATAAGACATAGCAATTAATTTAATTTTATTTAATTTAGAGACGCTCGGCGGCTTCCTTTCCACAGGTATTAACAGTTAATTATTTATCTGACTTTATAGAAAGTTACATAAATAATATTGATCAATTTTGATCTTCTTCCTGAATTGTACTGGCCCATATATTCTGCTCACCGTACAACCCGGCAACTTCGAATCGCCGCTACTCATTAGTCGTTACCGTAGAAGTTGTCGTAGAAATTACTCTAACAGTGAGATTACAAATAGGTTTTCAATTCCTCAGGGTTTCTAAAGCATGCAGAAAGTACCAAAATGTCATCATTTAGAAAAAGGGAAGGTAGAGAATGTAGAGTGAATTATATGAGAAGAAATTGTAACATCAACAGTGGAAAGATTTTGTGAGAGAATCAAATTGTTCTTCGTGTCGGCGCAATTTTTCTAAACAATTCCTAGGGCTGTTTTAAATCGACTAACGCTTACGAGCTACCAATAATTGCTTTTGGTGCGGTCACAATGTAGTTCGCCATGTAAAGCTGTTTTCCTATCAGTTGAAATAATTTTGCACGATTCAAGGAGCGCATTTAGATTTAGTTGTTACAAAAACAAGGTTAGACAATTATTATATCCAGCATGACTTTTTACTAGTAATTGTTCCATTGTACTTCATATTTTCCAAGAAAAGATGTTGCTTATTCACATGCGTTTCATTGTTGGTGCCGTTTGTCGATAAATATTCCATACACCAAAGGACAAGACCCGACCATTATTGTGCCTTGGTTTCGCCCTTTGCTACATTGTGGGCCGAAAGCAGGTGTTGGGTACCACCATGATAGTGGCGTCAATCATCAGGAGCACGATGTTGGTTCGATCCCGCTCCGTACTCACCAAATCTGGCATACCTCCACGGTCGGGCAATTAGTATTGAACTTGCCTGCGAAAAATTCACTCACTGCAATTCGAGTGGGAACACTCTAGCCCGGCTCCTCCAAGACTCTATTAGGAAGCGAGACGACCAGCATTCTGCGAAATTCAGTATGAAGTGAAAATCCTTTAGCTGCAGCGGAACTAGCTCGTAAAAGTTGGAAGACCTTTGTGGATGATGGGTACGAGGAAATGAACCTAATGTGAGGAGTCTTGGGATCCACAAAGTAGATGTGAAAAACGAGTTGTGTAAAAAAAATAGCTGAAAGGAACTCTCTTACAACTATCCACTAATTCAAATATTTTTCTGCTTTATGAAGGGAGAGTGTTCGAGTATTTTTGCTGAGCACACATCGTCTAATTATGGAAGATGCACATATGTGAGATTATGTTGAGTTTGAAAAGCAGTGAAATGCATACATAATGTTCCAAATAATTAACATTTCTTACGCTTCCTGGAACAAGTTTGCACCAAAAAAAGGATAAAGCTCTTGGCGTTGATTAATCCCTGATGGATGCGCCATGCATTCGACTTCATTAAGCGTCGTTTGGAAGTGATTGAATGCATATTTGGCCTTTACAGTGACTCGCAGTGGAGCTCGCGGTGGTAGTTTACACCATACCAGGTCGTATTCTCACTGAAGTCTCACTTCAAGTTTTTAATTAATTTTTAATTTTTTGAATTTTTTGATTTTTGAATTAACAATTAGGTCTCCACTCAAGTTTAAATTGCTTTGAAGTTTTTTGAAATGAACAATAAGGAAGGATATCGGAGATCGGATTGCCGACGAAAGACTGCTGTGTCGGTGAGCGTTCGTCGTAAACTCAAATCGTCGGAGCCGTCCATCAACGAGCCGCTCGTACATCGGATATTGGTGCTGCACAAAAATGGTGAATTATCTGTTTCCGGGGACACTCGCTCGTCCAGTTTCCTTCACGTGGTTTGAACAACTAGTGCAGAAAGAGTAGCAAGTGTTGAAGACATCGTCTACTCATCTCGGACTTTCTATTGTTTTGCTTCAAAAGCCTTTCTGTATTCGACGGCTTGAATCACCACATAAATACTTTTTCAGGCTTACCATTCTTAAGTTCCATTTAATACCCAATCTCATGTGCTGGTCTTTCTTCCAACCATTCCAGAACAGCACCAGTTTAAGGAAGGCAAACAAATGATTCAATGCTATTTAAAAAAAACCAAATATCACATGGACTATCCCTCGTTTTTTCTACACATCATTCGCTGTCTGCAATCATCCTTCTCGATGGTTGAAACACATTAGTATGGAGTACGTAAATTTATGACCACTGATAAAAAATGCTGAGCGACATTACTCGTTATCAGTCACCCAGATTGTCGCAATTAAACGAAAGCATCACTTAAAAGATTCGAATGGAATGGACTAGCTGTTTCAGGGGGAGAAGAGTAGACGAAATTATCATCGTACTTTCGTGGAACCTCTTTGGTGGAAGCGTTCAACTTCAAGTAGAAAACGAACAGAACACTTTCGCTGATGTCTTTATGGAATATGCCTTCCTGACCGTAACCAAAACAAACGAAGGCGGTGTTTACTTCCTGAATATGTAAATTATCCGACGAATAGGGGGAACGATGACCAAACTTCTTGGCTTCGGCCGTCAATTCTCCGTCTTCATTCATTCTCAAAGCCGATTTCGCTTTTTTTGAACTGAATTTTTCACTTCTTCTGAACCTTGTTTTTGTGTAATTCTTAGATAACCTCCAAATTTCAAGGCAGTTTATATGAATTGTTACGAATTAGGCAGTATTCCGAAAACAGTCTACTGTTTATTGTTGTCATTGTTAATAACAGCAAAACAATAAGGTCTCCTTATTTTGAGAAAGTGAAGATCTTGCTTTGAAACATAACTTCTATAATGCGGAGATATTTGATAAAACTAGCTGAGAGACAGGCGAAACGAAGGCCTCTAGTAGTGTGGTGGTGAACGCGTTACTCCCCGGAAAGGACAAATACGCGTTCGTTCCACACCGCAGACACCTGCGCTCCGGAGTTTTGCAAATATCTCAGCATTGTAGAAGTTATATTTCGCAACATACCCTTCCCTCAAAAAGAATATGCACTAAATAAAAAGGTTAATATTTTGCTTTGAATTTGAAATATCCCCCATTTCTCTCATTGTTATCTGCTGTCATCGTCGCAGCTGTTAGCAACTGCTAATCAACTTTCCGCAAGCGAAGCGTTGCCACCATTGTGTTCATTGACGCATGAAACTCTGTTCTAGCAAGCCGTAGTCTGTCCATTCCAGTAATTACCCTTCTACGACGGAATTCAGTGCTAACGAAATAGTAAAAGAATCTTTGAATCGCAAGTTCCCAGAAAAACGCAAGCAGGTATTTTCACAGACGAAGAATGTCTACAACTTGCTGGCTAATGTAACCCATTACTTCTGAGAGAAACCTTCTACACTAATTCTACAGTAATTAATGCCCTTTGTGTTATCGTATTTGAGCCACTGTTGTAGCACGGAAGGGTGGTGTATGCTTATCCATATGATTATTGTTTCAGAATATCTCATCAACGACAGAACATTATATGGCCGCTACATTGATGTGATTCGGCGAAGTTTCCAATTTACAGTTGAATATATCATCGTATTAAACCATGACCATCGTATTAAATTGCAGCGAACGTTATTCTATTCTGGACTGTGCGAACGCATATTTTAGTCATCGTTGTCTACTGAGAATACTAATCTCTATCATTTGAATCGGTTAAAGATTCTGTTCAGAAAGATTTCAAACAGCCGATGTAATACATGTAGTTGATATTAGCTGGGATAACAGACTCTAAACGCGGTCGTAAGATATAAGTTTTATCTACTTCTCATTTTTTTCACCGCAGGGTATTATGTGAAATACGACCACAATGATGCTGATATATTTGCAAAACTTGGACCCCAGGCTACATTGAACCGCAGTTACCCTTTGCGGAGGTTCACGTGCAACACACAGCATCATTGAGAAGTTCATTCTGCCTTTCTCTCAGCCGGTTTTTTCCTCCCTAAACATATACCCCTTTTTTAGACTTCTTACCATTTTCTTTACCTCCAAACGAAGTGTTTAGAATGGTGGCACTTTCTAAACTGATTTCTAACAAGCAAAGCAAAACTAGGTTTATAAGCATGCTAAAGGCCTGAACTTTTTCTTCAAAATGCATTAGAAGAATAATAAATATTTTCTTCGAAAGCCATTTTTCTGAATATTTCAAGAACAAGTAATACTTTGACAAAAAGATTGGTGATTAAGGATCATGATGTGAAGTTTTGTGCTCCCACTTCTTTTTAGCTTCTACATCACCACTTGTAGTTCATAAAATCCTATGTGCTGCAGAACCAACTTCTTGAGATTGGTCAGTGCCGAGTGCACAATACGCAGTTATTCTTGCGTTTTGTCGATTTTCCGATTATACTTCATTTAATTTCACTACTATGTAATGATAGTTCCATGACTTGTTCACAAGGTCGCTTCGATTCAAAAGTTATGGTGGATGATTGTCAAGCACACCTAGTTTCTGCAACCGTTTCGGATTCACTTGGAGTTTACATATGCCAATCATAAATTACTGCCAACCGCTTCTGACGCTTTCCATCGTTGAAACTATCATCTCTAGTGTGAGCTTTAAAATCAATGTTCATTATATTATATATTTTAACAAATCCTTGGCCGAGTGCAGCCTTGAAGTAGGTCTCTGCTGCTTATTGTTTTAATTAAAATTCACATAGACAAAGTGCGCGAATCTACTCGTTTTACCACTATATATATATATATATATATATATATATATATATGTAAGTATAAGGTCCCAGGATTCCAAGGCGAATTACGCTCGAGTACCTTTCGATGACATTCATCGAGGAGGACAAATAGTTGCCGAATAATTTCTTGGTTATCCATCCAGTCCATCGTTCATGACTGGATGAATAAAGTGCTAAAATTCGTAGAGTATGCGATGTTCATGCCATTTAAATGCTTAAAGATAACTTTTTATAACAATCATGAACTGAAAATTGTATTTTGAGCGAGAAAAAAATGAAAGAAAAACGTCTAAGTTTTCATTTTGCAAATGTCGGGCTTGATATCCCGAATAAATATTATGGATCACGATGAGAAGAGCAAATATTCTCCCAAGTTACTGTTCCGATATTAGTCGGCATGAGGTAGAATAGTGAGGAAGCTGTTGATTCTGTGTATAAATGCGCCTGCATGCCCAGCTAATGTACTGAGTTTCATGATGATGCGATTGTGCTAAAGAAAATAGGTGCAGGAAGGTCTGCAGAAATGATTTCTCTGAAACAGAAGAATGTATTTCGGCCTAAAAATAACTAATGGATTTAAAAAGGATGAAATTTCGAAGACGAGGACGAAGAATTTCAGTTATTATGTATTTATTCAAAAGGGTGACAATAATGAACTAATTAGCCACAACCGAGAAAAGAGCCTAGTGCTAAAAGTGTGACTATAAGGCAGAATCAAATTTTTTTTCCTCATCATAGGTACTGTGGCTTGAGAGATTTTAGTTTTAGGAAACCCCATTTATTGCACACAACTCTTTAAATGACTTAGTTTGTAGGTTCCATATAGGATTTTGGCTGTTATCTCGTCCTCAACTGATTGGTCAAGTACTCGCACAAAACCCCGTAGCCATAGGAATATCTGCTTTAATGATCGAACCAATATTTCGAACCAATCAAGATCAGCAAAGTTAATTCCGATTTAGAGGGGCCGCTGTAGGGATGGAAGTAGCGCAGTGGTTAGAGGTGCCCTGAAGTACACTCGTGCTCTTCAATTCGATCCTGCCCTCCGAGTTCACAAATCTTCTCTCTTCTGTCAAAGATTTTTCCGGTTAGGTAAACTAATTCCAAACTTGTATGAGAGAACTGAAGCACCAACATGATACATCGGCATGCTATCGTAAGCAATTTTATAGGCCAGATATTCCTTCTATCACCTCTAATGATGCTTATGAAGTTGAATGCAAGACCTATCCCTATCCCTCAGGCATTTATGAGCGCCGGACGTTTTGTACTTTCGTTAATTTATGTTGATGTAACTCAAAACCTTCCTCCTCAGGTGTTTGCGGTCCGGAGTTTTGCAAACAGCTCAGCTTCATTGTGGTTGTATTTCACATAATACCCTGCCCTGAAAAATTGTAGTGGGTAGCAAATGAAAATTTAACAGTGTGTAGGTGTGCTTCAAACGGGCCGTGGTCCACATCTTGTTGTAGGGCCATGTTTAGGGAGTCATGAACTCATACACTAGACTGCAGAGGATGCTACCCAAGCTGCCCCAGGAGCTAAGGAAGGGCTAGTGCCCTCGACTGGTTTGCGATATGCCCTATCCGTCTGTCTAATATCAGAAGTAGTCGGCTGGCCGACTGATTCCTCGCCGTTCTGGATCACAATCGTCCACGGCCGTCCGTCGTCCGTCCTGACTGTCGATCGATTAGGAACGCCGGCACGCCCCTAGCTCAATGCGGCCGGCCTCCCGTTAGCACTCACCCTGGCGATTATCCTCTTTCTTAAGGCCGTAGACACCAATTCATATAGGCTATGCTATTCAGGCTATTCACGTATCAGTTTTATGTGCAGTAGAATTAGCCGGTAATACTGAATTCGTATGGAATGTCATATTTTTTCTGTTGTCGATCTTCATACTACGGTGTATGCAGACGTTGGGAACTCGGCGTTTATCATATCCCTTAACGGATCCACATGACATTAATTGATTGTTCTTGTCGTCATGCCTCTTTAGATATACGCCAAAATGGAAATGTTTATATCCTGTGGACGTGTTTAGTGTTCTGCTTTTAAACGTTATCTTCAATTTGCAACACTAATCAAAAATCGGCTACAAAGGAGAGAAATTCGCTTTCTGTGGATTTAATAGCTTCGTCTTAACGTTTACTACCCGTTGTTTTCATAAACACATGTCGGAGTAGTCATTGCCTTGGCTATTCATTTCTTCATCTCACGCACTCCTCACTAAGCCATCTACCATCTGGCCCGTCCATTTGCGCTACGTGTCTAAAGTTCGTATCGATCGGTTTTATAAGCAATCCAAATTTTTTCTCTTTCTAGAAATGATAATCTGAGAAACGATCGAACATGATAGACATCCTCTTTTCTATATTCGCCTATATACCGCATTTTAATTTCCATTTCAAACGAATTTCGAACAATTTCGATATAAATTGGCGAAGTGACTACGCGCAGGTAAGACTGTTGAGTTGAAAAATTTGTTCCTATTGTGGTTCCATTGAAAGTTTCGGGCTAAATTTATGAAATTGATCTACTTTTTTTTCCAGAAATTTCATTCCCAATAAGTGAGAGGACTTCATAGATTCAACGAAATCACTTTAATATTTCATATTGTATCATGCGTTTCACTTGCATAAATTTCGGAATTGTATTGTGCTGAGAACGTTCATCTACATGGGAAGTGTACATTCCCTTTTATAAACACCGCACCTCTTTTTTATCACGTCGGAAATGACTCATGTGATAGTACTGCTAACATGAAGCGTTACTCCCCCTTGTAGTTGAGATTACAGTGGTTTCTACTTTCAACATAATCGTTGAAGAGAGTTTATTTGGTGGTCATATGGGTACTTATGTAAGAGAGAGGATTTATATTGGTTTCGGTGCATCAAAGTAGCGGTAATCGTCAAAGACTACTGTGAGCATATGTTACAGCTTGAACTACAAAGATGTCATCTCGCTGTTAGACTAAACACATACGGCTATCCATGCTCTTGAAGTTCAAGACGACTCACCTTTTGACGGATTAAAGTGTGTACAACTTTGCAGGTTTGGAAATGGGGATGCCAGAATGGCCTCAGTGAATCCAACCATCGAAAATCAAATGTTTCGTTTGTAGCCACTTGAAAAAAGTGTGTTCAGTTTCCAAACTCAGTTCGCTTTAACTCCTCCAAGGCGACAATTGCCAGACAGCCTGAGTTGGTTTACACATCGGACTTAGGTATCTAATCCACAGTATTTACGAGGAGACTTTTGTCGTGAACTAAACAGGGAAATGGGTTTAATGAAAGACAGTTTTTTAATTATTAGAATAAGTGCACTATTGTGAATATCATTCATGAGGTACAATCCATTGCATGCTTTCTTGTAAGTGCATTCTAATTGGCATTAATAAATGAGCTATCTGGGTAGTCTCTGAGCGGACCAGAGCATACTGCAAAGGTCACTATAGTCATCAGGATGCGACTGACGTATGTAGGAGAGTTATCATGTCGTAATGGACTGATATAAGTTGTAATCTGACTGCGTCTGCAACAAACCAATCAAATCGGTACCTGATTAAGTTAACTTTGTGACAGATTAAATTCTCCACCGAGCGCACTTCCTCTGTCATTCAGGACAAACCCGAACTATTTCTTTTGGAAAAGTAGAGATTTAGGGACATATTTGTTGAGAAAATGGACTTGAAGTGCGTTCGGTATAGGCGTAGAGCGAAGACGAACGAATTTTCGAGAACGGCGAAATGATTATATAAAATTACCGTTTGTGTTTTGCGAACAGTTGGGTTAAACTTCTAATCGACAGAGTGCAAATGTTGTAGTCGACAATAGCAAAAGTACCAGTTGATAAGCGAAAGACAGAAATGAGAGCTTATTTTTCCTTCTTAGAGCATCGCGTTTCTGGCTATCTCTTGTGGCCTCTTCACTATTTTACTACTTCTGATCATTGTAACCACATGGGTGTGTCAATGCTGTTCAAGAGAAGAAACGTCAGGAAAATCTCGACGAAAAGTTCGCAGACTATCTACGATACTTTTCGCCCTTAGTGTGCTTTGTTTGTGAGTTTCTAAATACTTTGTAAAGTTTTTTTTCTACTCTTTTCATTGTTTTTTATTAAAGGAAAAGAAGGTTTTACATCATTACTAAGTAGTAGCACAAAAATATCCATAACATCTGGTCTGGTATTATATGATATGTGACTAAGAAAAAATGTTGATGGTTAGGTTATTTTCGAATAGTTAGGTTGTCATTTCCGGAATTAAACATGGGGCTTTTGGAGAGTTCGACATAAATTTGCAAACGTAGCGATCGAAACCGAGGACTGCGTTCCGACCACAACGGTTGTTCTCCGATGCCCGATGACTTGGGAGCTAGAAATGAATCCTAAGTACTAAGTTATTTTTCATTTCATCATTGACAGGAAGAAATAGGAGATAAATGATAAAGCTTTCGGCGTTGTTCAATACGCGAGGGATGCGCAATGCGTTCGACTTCATTAAGCACCGTTAGAGGCTATTGAATGCATATCTGGCCTATACAGCGGCCCGCAGTGGCCTATCGATGTATCGAGCCAATATTTCTTTTATCCTCCCAGATAAGTACCAATTGGCCGACCCCGGAGGGATGGAGGACTTGGTGGGCTTGGGACTGGAGATCGATCCCATGTGTATTGCAGGGCGCCTCTAACTACTACGCTGCACGCACCCCTGTAGGAGGAAGTAAACGAATCATTATACCCTTTTCCCAAATAACTTACGAATTAGTACATAGAGATCTACGAAACTCAAAATTACGTCGATTTCAAGGCCAACTCACTGCTGTATTTACTTTTAAAGACTAAAATACGTGAAAGTGCATTCGAAGTTAACGAAAGGACGTTGGTTTCCACCGTGATTTATTGAATCGCTCAAGTTTTATTGAGTATGCGTTTAAAGTCAAGGCTAAATGTTCTCATTCATACGAATCATATGCATCGCCATATGCTCTTTTTATAATGTCTCATTGAAACAGTATTCATCTCCTCCCCATCCCTAACGTTGTAGGATTTAAATGTACGGTCATTGACAAGTTTATAAAAGCTTTCCTATTTCTCTGGACACTGCTTTCTATGTAATGTTCGTTTAAGATGATAAGGTGATAGCACAGTGGTTACGCATCGTCTCTTAATAGTAGGTTTTGTGAGAGCATTCTGTAACATAAATGAACCGGCCGGTCTCTCCGTCGGTCTTCTTTGATGTTTTTGTTTTCGTCGTGTCTGTGCCCATGACTCGCTACTCTTGCGTGCTAAGGCTACTATAATGTCGAGGGACCACTGAGGGAAGAGGGCGTTGCTGACTTGCGAGAGATAAGTGCTCGAAACCATGAATTTGTAACATTGTTACGAATCAGTGTTCCTAATGAGTCAACATGGGGACTTCATCGCCTGTATCACCTGTTTTCCCACTAATCATCGAATTACCCAAGCTGTCACCTGCAAATTCGATTCCTCACCATCGCTCACCAATGGAGCTGAATGGGCTGACCGTTCACCCCATCGTTTTAGCATCACGGGTGGATCTCCGTGCTCTGCATTGTAAGCTTACTCTTAACTGGATTTTCGGATGGTAGTGTTGACTGCTTCGTATGTGAGTGACATTGCTGGGAATGAACCCGCTGTGGTTGTAAATCATTGAACGGAGCTGGGCTTGGGGCGAAATATAATGAAATCTCCGTTTGACTTATACTCACAGTCCACATTTCTTTTTGTAAGTACGGAAGAGTCATATAACCTAGGAATGTCGATTTTAATAGAGAATTAATTTATCCTCTGTGTTCGCGAATGACTCCCATCTATTAGGTATATTTACAATCCTTTTGATGATAGATTGCACAGGGATCTTTTACAAGAGTTTTCCTCGTTTCTACTCAATCTCCACATTGTTTAAGAAGAAATCAGAAGAATGGCCTTTGTGACAAATGTAGATGCCCCTCATGTTTAGTCATCGCAGCCTACCGCTCTACGTTTTGCACTTCTACTCCTTAGTATGCCCAACTTTTTCACTTGGCTCTCCTATGTTCTTAATAAGCCCACGCCTTTTGTCAAAAGTTGCCGAAGTCCATCTTCCAATGTTAATTTGTAACAAAACAACTTTGCTTTTTTCCTTCAATTTGAACCTCTCCAATGATTCCCATAAAGAATGCTATTACAATGAGAATTATTGGGAATTTTCTTTTTTCTCTGAAAGATAGCGTTGTGGATTATCAACAGAGATTTTTCTAATTTTCCTCTAAATTGTTTAATTAATGTTTCAACCGGATTTTCGAGAAGAGTGCGTTCAGGTGATTGGCTTATTAATCTCACCCAGGTGATATTTTAGACTTCAACCTGGATGGTTTCTACGATGTGCAGTAATGCAAAAGTACCAGTACCACAAAAGTTTACATAAATATTTATAGGCTACTTTTTTGTGATAGCGGAGCAGCTTTATACCTTTTAGCATTTTCCTCGGACTCTGTTTGTTTGGTAACGAGCACGTGAATCGAGGAGTGACCAAATCCTTAAATGGGCTAGCGGACGTAAATCGTGGTTTCAAACTCGCCATCGCACAGGTGACGTCTATGACCATTTTATGTACTATTCTTTCAATTTGTTGGAAAATACACTCTATAAGTCTGTTGTTCTTTCGAACTCAGCGCATGTCATGTAGATGTGAGAGTGTCATTCATACTGCATTTTATGACGATACGTAGTGCTCAACCTCACGTTGTAGCGACATACTGCTGCTGACTAGTGCTGTTACCAAAAGATGTAACACTCTAGTTGTCATCGCTGTGTCCCTCATTCGACACGACTTAGGCGAGATGAGTATGACAACGTTGGACCAACCGGCGCAAATGTCGTTCGGACCACAAAAAACCAAATGCATTTCCTATTGAAATAATGGCTGAATGCTTGTTGCATCTCAATGACCTGTCCGCATTATGATGACCCGAATTACATATATATATTCCCTCTCCCGACCTTTTTGTTGTAGAACGTGAAAGTCTTATCCACACTAATTTGGGTACTAGTAAGTCGTTGCATACTCATATTGAGATAGTTGGTTTCCTAGTTTTCGATCGCTTCTAGTCATATTGTTAATGCTGTATGAGTGAAGCATAGACGTTTACTGTCCAGTCCACTGATTACTGTTCAGTTGACAATAATGATAGTTCGTCAAGAAGCGTTGTACCAATTAGTAAAGTGAACAATCCCATACTTGAATTATAATAACAGATTGTTCATTTAGACGAATACCTTAAACGACACATGTCAAAAAACGTCTCTACATCTAAGAAATCTGAAGGAAATTGTTCATGTTAAGAGCAAAGGAACTGGTGTCAATGAAACGGTTGGTGTTATTATATTGTATTACCATCCATGTACGGTAGTATCGACAATTAAATAAACGTGAGCTGAAAATGATTGTGATGTGCGGCCTTCTCTATATTGTTAACTTATCTGTATATTCTAGAACTCTAGCAGCGTATCGCTTTCAATAGGGGAAGGGATAGTGCAACGGTTAATAATGCAGTCCATCAGGGTGCAAGGTGCAGGGAGCGCATTAGCTCGACTATCTCCAAGATTGCAAGGAGAACCGACTCGATCAGCATTCTACTACGTTCATAACGAAGACGAAGTCCTCAAGCGGCAGCTGAAACAACATGTGAAATATTCGAAGACCTATATTTACTTTTTATTTTCTCCCTGTACAATTTTCACGGCAAGGTATTATGCGGGATACAACTTCAACGGTGCTGAGATATTTGTAAAACTCCAGACTGTAGGTGTCTGCAGCGGGGAACGAGCGCGCTATTACCCTTTCCGGTAGCAAACGCGTTCACCACCACACCATGCGGGCCCTTCATTTCGCCTCTCTCTCAGCTAGTTCTATCGATCAGCGCCATCAGCAATTACCCGTCAATGGGATTGATCTAGGGAGCCCAAATCGGCAGCGAACTCAGTTAAGCTGAGGCTCAAGTTGAAATCACATTCTTAACCTTTTTTATTTACTGCCTACTGTAATTTTTCACGGAATGGTGTCATGTGAAATGCAGCTAAGTTGATGCTGAGACATTTGCAAAACCCCGGACCGCAGGCATCTGCGACGGGGAACGAACGCGGTATTACTACCATTTCCCGGGGCTAGCGCGGTTCATCAGTTGCGAGACAAGTGAAACGAAAGTTCCACATAGTGTGGTGGTGAACGCGTTAGCCCCGAAGAGGGTAATGGCCCGTTCGTTCCACACCGGAGACACCTGCGGTCCGGAGTTTTGCAAATATCTCAACACCACTGTGGTTGTATTCGAAGATCTTTGCAGAGGATGAATGCGTGGGAAAACGAGTCCATTGTAAAAAGTAGTGAGATCCACGCAGTAGATACGGTGACGGGTCCTGTGGAGTGAAATTTAAAAAATGTCTTCAGTATTATCGCGAATACGCTTGGTCTTCTATCCTGCGGAGAATGCATTGAACTCAATACATGTACTTCGTTCAGTTTGCACACCTCGAAGATTGACGTTAAATAGGCGCCATTTTAACAGGGGGTTTCTATATCACTCAGTTGGTACGAAAAGCAAGGAATCATTACGCGATCCTTGTGTGCTTGTTTGTATAGCAGGGTCTTCTCATTCGTGGTGACGGAGATATCTTATTACCATCCTCGCTTACACTACTCACCATGGCGGGAAAAACAAGCTCCTCCGAAGTTTTTTCGAAGAGTTTAGCTATACTATTACTGTGTGTAGAGTATAGTTTTTCTTAGAGCCTTTCAATGGAGCATCTATGATTGGAAAACTATAGATAAACACGGGAAAGTATAGCAAAAAATGAACTTTGGTGAAATAATGAGCAGCAGAAAAGTAATTGCCTTGAAATCAATGCATATTGTCCGATCTGTTTCCACATGTGCTGTGGCATCAATACATCTGGTAACGATCTTTCTAGAAAAGAGCTCTAGGTACATGTTGTTTTATGATTGGGAGCAAAAACAATTCAAAAATGTTCTTACAATTCGTCTTCTAAATTTCACTCAACAACACTATTCCTAATGGAATAATCTGCACTTTTCTTTCAGCTTGTAGCTCAGGCGAATATCTTGTTGACATCCATATCAGGAGGTATGGATTCGGTGAAGAATAAACTGAACACTCTAAAGAAAACATTACTCGACGTGAGCTTTTTAGAATCGGCTGAGGTTTACGGAGAGCGAATTGAGTTAGAGCGGTTAGTGCTAATCCGTCTTACTACTCAGTTTTTTAATGACTTTAAATAGGTAGTGTACTTTTAACTACACACATCGCTTTGGTGTTATAATTCTAGAACTAAACCTAATTTTAATGGTGAATTATAATGGTGAATTATTATATGGTGAACATCACTGAGTGAATTATAAATTTCTTCAAATCACCCACGTGACTTTCTTTTTCTGTAGAAAGCCTATTAAAAACCATACAGTTTTGGGCTGTACCAACTTTGTTATTTCTACTCCACTTGAATAAAATACAAATTGTCCGTTATATTTATCGTTTTCGATCCTAAGTGGTGATCGTGAGGTGCATAGTTCACAGTGCGCGATGGTTGTTCAGGTGTTGTACATGACCGTCGGTCATACTTTCTGTTGTTCTTCGAGTTCTTTTTCTTGAACAGACAAAATTTCGTTTTTTTCTATTGTTTTCAACTTATTGTGTTTATCTTCATATTTTGTATCTCATCTTCTATGTTTTCAACTCACTATTTATATTACAGCCCCATTGACCTGCTGAAATCGCAGAAAAATGTGGGTTGCGTGTTTACCAAGGGCCCGTGTTTTTAAAAAACATTTGATTAAAATTTGGATCAATTGGAAATTGGTGAGCCGCAGCGGTCGGTGGTAGCTTGCAATACACATAGGATCGATCTCCACGCCCCAGGCCCACCAAGCCCTCCATCCCTCTGAGGTCGGCGAATTGATACCAGACTTGTCTGGGAGGATAGCAGCATTGACTCGATAGATCGGTAGACTACCGCGAGTCATTGTATAGGCCAGATATGCAATCAGTCACTGTCAGCGATGCTTATTGAAGTCGAATGTATGGCGCATCCTTCAGCGATAGTTCAACTTGGGGAGCTATATCCTTTTTATCGAATGCTTGCCTAAGTATTTCTTTGTGTTATCGCTGTATTCTCAACTTTGAGCGCTTTATCACTGCCAGTTTAGTCCGAAGCTATAGTAATTACGACTGTGAAATATAATAGCTTTCATCGGGAAGATTTTTTCTTTTTATGAGGAATTCTCTTATTCCATTTACAGTACCTATACACTATTCATTCGTGGATAGATCGGTCTAATTGGCACACAAGTTATGTTGGATTTTGGAAATCGGTCACTTTATGACTACGATTACACTACTCAAATTGCTTGTGCGGCGTAATTGGCTTTCCGTCATAATTGAGTTGTTCCGAACCGATGAAATAGCGCTAATTGTGATTGCTGCCGTACCACTTTGCAATCACCAGAACTTTGATGTCATCGAATTCACTGTCAGAAATAGATGTCGCCTTTAAGAAAACTTGGCTTTTAAGTTTTCTTTGAGTTGACGCAGTTATTTTGTTTTTCATCTTCAATGACCTTTAGGAGCAGAGTTTCTATGTCAAACATGTGCGCGTCTAAAAGAAATTGTAGTATCACGGTAACGTTTAGCAACTGCGCAAGTCTTCTACACTTCCTCACACGTTTCGTTCTCTTGAACAAGCTTAGGGCATTCTCTTTGTATCAGTCGATTGTCAACATTTCGCAGCGATTTGTTTACTTGTGGTGATGGGCCCCAGAGCCATCATTTGGGGCAGGGCACCACCTCATATTACATAGCCCGATATGTCCGCTGATCGTATAATTGTCCACATCTTAAGCGCTGTCCTGTGGACGATGGTCATCTTAGAGAACAGGAGGAAACCGCTAATGACTAGCGGAAGAGTGGCAAATAGCGCGCTAATGATTGCTTTTCGTTATTACTAGGCGTTATCTGGATCTGGGATTCGATTTTCTTAGTAGCGTGGGTGATCCTCAGTTAATATCTATCACTCATGAAAGTGTGAATAATAATAAAATCCTCAGTACGGGGTACTGCGATTTTCGACTGTTTGCTGCTTGCAATCGTGAAAAAACGATTGCTTTAGCACTGAGCGAGAAAGGAGCTATGGATTTTAAAACGCTTTGTTATACTGGAGAAACATCTTTAAAACATAATTGACCACGTAGTACCAATACGTAAATGAGTGGGCAGAGTAGAATATATGCATTTATTTGAATTCGTAGTTTCGGACTGTTTAGTTTGCTGCAAAGAATTTAGTCGTTTTAACCAGATGTGATGTGGTTCATGAGAAGTTCTTTCCTACAATTCATATTTTGCTAAGAAGCTCGGGTGAATTTTACAAAGCCTACCACTCCCGACGAGGAACTAGGCGTAACTCGAGACGGTGGCCACAGAAAACTGAACATATTCGCAAGTGTGTTAAATAAGAAGGGAAACAAAGGAATGCGAATTCCGACCTGCTTTGCTGTCTAGGACTATAGATTTGAAAATGTATTGGACATAAGCTAATTCTCTTGACAGTTAAAGAATTCCAATAAAAAAATATTAGTTTACTGCTCAAGAGAACTGAAAATTTCGGATAAGTTTATCATCATAGATACATTAGAGTGTATTTTATAGAAGGCGAAGTTCATAACAGTTCACATTTTCAGATGGATGCTACTGGTAACATTACTATCCATCATGATGTGTGTATTGTTCGCCGGTGTAATTTCTTTCTGCCGTCAATCCAAAAAAGGAGCTGTAGTATTTTCCGGACTTGGCATTGTTATTTTCTTGGTCGTTTGGACGCTATTATGCCTTGTCTTGCCTCTCACAGTGGTAAGTTTCTATCAGTAATAATATTGACGCTTATCGTCCGTCGTTTTTAACACAAGTGTGTCTCAGTTTTCTGTACCATTTTACAAATGTTAGCCCCCACCACCTTTTATCTATGGTTGAATTATTACCAATTGAAGCATTTCCTTTGATGAAAATGCGATTGCCGTCTTTTAGACATTGGTGGATTTTTGCTCATCTGGTGGTCAGTACATTCGTTCGAGAATCAGTGATCCAATGTTGAGCGCGATGAAATTCTATCAGTCATGTGACGCAAGACCTACTCACGACAATGTGCCACCAGTTTTTGGCGCTACGAACATTAGTGACATGCTGAGCGCGTTTCAGGCGAACAGAACTCAGTTGAATTCTGTTCTTGACGTAGCATTTAATCATGACTCAGTGGTGAGTGAGCTTATATTAAATAAATTACGCTAACGATCCGAAGAAATAATGATGGGTTTGATGATTTCTTTATTTTACAGCATCAGTTACGGTAACGTCATAAATGCGATTCACGTGGTGTATAGCATTCTCATGTAGGAATGCGTGTTATCGAACAGTTTAGAGATCTTTAGATGTAACTAAAAGTGGTTTGAGTATTAAAAAACGTGTTTTTAGGAACAGGAAAAATAAACTTCAGCGATGAGATGAAAAGGAATTTTAGGTAGTGTATTGTTGTGAAGTGAGGTGATAAACCATTCACATATAATTCACATATAATGGTACGTTCTAAACAAAGCTTGTTTAAATGTTTGTTGCTCTAAGGTGCAGTCAAAAGAACTTATTTGTCGGAGAGTTTCCCAGTCAGTAATCTATACTTGAACTAAGAGTAGTGATTTGAAGGGTATGTACGCTATGTGAGACAGAGTTTGAAGATGAATTCGTTCAACTTTTGTGGCTTTTGAAGTGCAACGTATCATTGATAGTTGGCACCCCAGAGGTTTTTCGCAGTACATCGCTCATGTGATGGTCTTGCCGGTAGTCAGAATATTGTGATGGACTAGTCTGTCTCTTAGAGCACCAAAATTGCCCTGTTAGCTTGTTTCGATGCAAGGTAGGTTCTGCAAGGTGTTTAGAAACTTCTTCTTGATCTGTTCACTGCAAAAAACAATAAACAACGTCCATTTTCTAATAGAGGAATCCACTTTATATAGAATTTCGTGATCGCTCGAGGAATGACCTACTGATAAAGAACGGTTCAGAGTCACTTCATAACGACGATCTTTTTTGTCTTGAATTAAATCGTGTGGCATCCATTTGTTGAGTGTTTTCAGCCTTTTTTTCGTCCTTCGAGCGATATTAAGATTTCTGACTGATTAACTCTGAGTTGCTTTGCAACTTTTTGACTGGTCTCCGGCATCTGTTCACAGATTTACGCCTTTAGAACTCTTCATCAACTGGTCCAGAGCGTCTAGGGAAACGTCTAGTGAAAAAATTGGACATCAAGTCTCATATTTACTGATACGGAACTTTTGAAACTATCTGCTCAACTCTTTATATTACGAACTGCTATTCTATCCCTTATCCAAGAACAAGCTGGCGTTTCGGCGGATTTCGCATGGGAAGGTCAAGGCTCTGAGGAAGGCGAAATCCGCTGAAACATCAGCTTGTTCTTGAATAAGGAATAGAATAACACCCTGTGTTGGCTTGATGAGAATGCAAAGAATTATTTGACCAGTGCCGAGGTTAATAGAAGGTCGGTCGTGGGAATTATTACGAGACATTTATTCAATATAAATTGAGGATGTGTATCCCTGCCTCCTTCTCGTGCATCTATTGTTTGAAAAAAAGCTCTGGGCGTTGATCAGTCCCTGAGGGATGCGCCGTGCATTCGACTTCATTAAGTATCGTTGGAGGTGACTGAATGCATATCTGGCCTTTATAGTGACTCGCGGTGACCTACCGATGTATCGACCCAGTGCTGCTATCCTCCTAGACAAGTCTGGCACTAACTTGCCGACCCCGGAGGGATGGAAGGCTTGGTGCACCATGGGCGCGGGAATCGCTTCCACGTTTGGGTCGCAGTGGCGCCTCCGACCACTGCGCCATCTATTGCTTACGCGAACAAATTTGAACTAATAAAGTTGCGTTGAAGGAGTCATTTCAACTAGCGTAAAACAATTGCACATTAAGTGCTAGAGAGGTTTTATACGACAAACAGTCAACTAAATAATTTTCTGTGAAGTGATATTTATTTTTCCATGATCCTTCAGGTAGATTACTGACGTTTTTGTCATTTTTTCTCTCACTTGTTGTCCAATAAAGCAATATATAGCTACTTGATACTTGAACGGCCCGTCCTCACTAATTGTGCGGGCCCCAGCATAATAATCATTTCCCGGAGATTTGCCGGTTATGCCATTGTGGTTCCCTGGAATCCCGAGGGTCGCCAAGCCAAAGTCTGCTCCAGGTCGTCACCACGAAAGGCAGTCGCAGCCCATGTGGATCAGAGGGAGTTTTACCACCATGCAACTTTGATACCAGGACGGTGGTGGATTCTGGTATTGGTTTACTCGTAGCTAGGTTTCCTGATGGAAACACCGGACTCCTCAGCTTGGGAGACTCTGCCGGGGGTCGAATCTCCCCGCTTTACATCACAGTCCGACACCCAGCAACATCTCCCAGCTACGATGAGGCGGTAAACCGTTGGGAGGGAAGGTAGTACATTCTACCTGGATTTACGAAACCTATGGTGGCATTCATTTCTCTATGCGATGGCTGGAGATCAGTGTTTCCCTTTTACATTAACATAAAATTGAAGGAGTTTAAATGTTATATATGCTATACGAAAATTTTAGCGAGTTTTCAGATTTCCAACTCATCGGCCGTAATAGCGGGCGATACGATTCGTTCACTGAAAGGAATTGGAGCATTAGAATCAACCCTTGCTTGTTATGCCTTTAGGCAAAGTGTTCGAGCGATGAGTTTCAGTTTATGCGATCAAGCCATGTAAGTGCCTTGTCATAAATCATTCTATATTTTGCTCGTCTTCAAAATATGTTCTGTACTTATTCTTTCCTTGGTGGGTTAATTTCAATTTGGTACTCAAACTGAAACGCGGTAGTAACTATTTGCGTTTGGCATCATGACTTTCTTTAGGTCACGAAAACATCTACTTTATGAGTGACATACTAAATTCTGAGTAAATACTGCTTGTTCATCTGTTGTTTTCAATTACACCTTGAAACATATTTAGAAGAAGTTTCAATAACCTGCTATGAATCTATACATTACAAAATTTTGTGAAAAGTAATGTAGTTCACTGCTTACAGTGTCGTGTAATGTCCGGACAGTCCACTTAAGCTTAATTCCATATTTTTGTGCTGAGGTGAAAGTCCTCAGCAAATGCTTTCCGTCCTCAGTTTAATTTCAATTGCTTACTTATTTTATATAAATAGTAATAAAGGAAATGCTCTTGGCGTTGATCCTTGAGGGATGGGCCGTGCATCCGACTTCATTAAGCACTGTTGGAGGCGATTGAATGCATATCTAGCCTTTAAAATGACTCGCGGTAGCCTGCCGATGTATCGAGCCGGTGCTTCTATCCTCCCAGACAAGTCTGGTACCAATTTGCCGAGCCCGGAAGGATAGAGGGCTTGGTGAGTCTAGGGCGGCGAGACCGATCGTATGTTTATTGCAAAACGCCTGCAGCCACTGCGCCACACGCACCCCACTCTCCTTAGGGTTACCGTTTTATTTGGTATCGCTTCATTTGAAGTTGAGAAATCTATGTCTTGGTTTTTTTTAAGCGTACGAAAGTATACGTATACTTACAAACTGTTGCTTTATGAAATTTAGACTATTTCTTAAGATTTCTTCAAGGAGAGCAAAAGTTGTCGTACTGCAGTCGTATTTCGTTTCCCTAGCAAACTGTACCAAATTTTGAAGAAAGACAATGCTTCCTTATCTATGGTTTTTCATACTTTTGAAAGTATTTGCTATGTTGTGAAATTTTGATGAGAATTGAAGAGGTTGTCACTATCGAAATGCATTGTGTTTCAGTATAGGATCATCACTCCTAACATTATGTCTGTTCTTCTTGGGCATGTTTCTCTTTACATTGCTTCTTATTGTGTCACGTTCTTGGCATCTCTTCACTAGACGGTAAGTTCTATGATACGCGATATCCATAAATGTCATATTTCAGCATTCTTCCTGGTACCTGTTATAATTGACCTGATTTAAGCTACCACGGATACGTTTTGTTCTCATTCTACCTCAAATGTTTAATCATTTACTTTCTCAATCAGCTAATTCATACGCGCTTAACGCATACCATCCCTGTTACTGCTATAGTTCAGAAATCACATGAACCTAAAGGTAATGTTGGCTTATGACAGATGTAAGAAGAAAGAAACGTAGCAAACATTTCTCGCAACAGATGAAATCGTCCATAAATTATGAGCACTTTCTTTCTCGGTTGGCTTTCAATCATGCTACGAACACTTCTCAGCTTCATTAACTCTATACGATATCACTTAGTGCTTTATGAGCCGACCAAATGCTGGCCTACTGTGTGATAACATATTACAGCGTTGCTAAACGAGCTCTCATATAGTTGGACATCTGTTCCTGAGCTAACTTCTTCATAGAAACGACCGCTATTTGCTTGTTACTGCTGCTATAGGTCGATGACCACTGCTTTCCTTGGCATCTGTATTCATCGTGCTGCCCATGCTTCTATTAATAGCAAGTTTTCGTGTGTAGAAATATGTGCAGGTGCAATAACGACTTTGATGTTGGGTTTTCGATAAAAGAGGAAGAGTAACAAAGAATAAGGACTCATTCTTATTATGCTTTTTTAGACCATCTGATTATGTCGAAGTGGACGAGGATGATCCATTCTTCCCTCGTACAAATGATTCCATGATCCCGGTTGACATCTATGGAACACATGTGTTCAATCCACGAACGCGGTATGACATTTCGTATTATAATTTCCTGTAGGAAGACAAAAAAAGAGGTCCTCTGGTTTTGGATCAGATAAAGTGAACGTTAATAAGTCTCTCTGTAGGGATCGCGGTGAACCGTCAACAAACACAACTACCGCCACAGGAAACGGTTCTGGTGAAGATCAGACAGCGCCACTTTGGAATACCACCAGTGTTCCACCACTCTCTAGGTTAGTCCACCGCATTGTTATTCTCACTTAGTTCTAATTAGTAAAGGAGTGCTTAGAGAATTGTTTTTTTCATGGCATGGGTAGGTCAAATGTTTTAATTCCTCAATTTCAGTGCCACCCGTTCTCCCTACAATGAGAATTCATACGGAAACTATATGAACAACCGTTACGATGTTTAATTGTTATTTGTATTTTCTGACTGTATATAATGCTGTTTTCTATATACTTCTTTAACGAATTCCCAACATTACTGTGGTTTTTTAAAAAGCCGCCTTTTGTGAGCGCGAGTCCTCATTTAATAGTGTCACACTGTTGGTTTTCTCGTAACGAATACATTGTCTATGGTCAGTTTCTGACCGACAATGTTCCCTTTTTAATCGTTGTATCATGGCTTTCGATGAGTAATTAATGAACGTATTGAATGCACTATATATTTTCAGTGCAACAACTGTGTATACAAAATGAGAGTCCGCACAAATAGGTGTTGCCGAGCAAAACCGACTATCATATTCTTTGTAGAAGATTGGGATATCCTTAATCTCGCAAAAATTCAGAAGTTGCCTAGTGACTACTATAATGTAATAATAGATAGTAGAAAGTATATAAGATAGTGAGGTAGCACTAGCAATTGAATGGTTTTTGGTTCAGCTTCGATCGCTTCCTCAGGCTAGTCAACATTCCGATTTTCGGAATAGTCACTTAAATAGCTACAAATCCCACTGTAATGTATTAAATGCCAACCTATCCATTAGCGGCTATGCCTGCAGCATCGGTGGCCAGCTGGCGTCTTTATTTAGTACCTAATAAAATTTAAGAATAGGACGATATGAAGTGACGTTCCTCAGTCAAAGGACTTTCCCGGATTTTATTTGAAGAGAGAGTTTAAACGTTGAACGACCATCTGTGGTTAGTTAAACCAGCCATCTTTTTGAGTCGTATCCTCAATTCCTGTTTTTTTTTCTGGTCATAAGTCTTGCGTTGTACCATTATTTGCGGAACTATGTGAAAGTTGTTGTCTTTATCGATAACTGCTCCACCAAGCAACGTAATCTTCAAATATGATTCAACTTGTACTGCCGGGTGTACAACATCATAAGGATGGATTATATGCATTAGGAGCTATGTAAACTTTCATCCTGTTCTACTGGAACATGCATATGACGTCGACGATTTGGATGACAACATAGGTAGTACACAATCATTACAGAGATACCTGGAAATACAGCTTTCACTAGAATAATATTTGCAGATAGTTGCTACACCCACATCAGAAATTCAAACATTGTGAATTGTGAAATATCTGCAAAACTCTGGACCGCAGGTGTCTGCGGTGAGGAACGGACGTGATATTACTCTTTCCGGGCTAACGCGCTCACTAACACACCATGCAGGTCCTTCGTTTCACCTGTCTCTCAACTACTTCTGTCGATCACTGCCATCGGTAGTCACCAGTCACAAATAATACCCTGCCGTGAAAATTTGTAAAAGGCAGCAAATAAAAAGTCAACATTGCAAATTGTCTCGTCGTTTCTTTACACACAATACCGCAACATCTCCCCACTTTTTTACGGTAATGGTGGATGTAGAAGGTGAGTAGAGCAGTGGTAGTTACGAAACATTGTGAGCACGGCGCTGGTTCAACCCCTCCGCAATCTCGGGGAGCCCTTCATTTCTCTGGGGTTTAGAAATGAGTACCAGACTTGTCCAGACCCTACTCACTGTCAAATCCGCACAGCAACGCTGCAGCACAGTTATCTTAGCAATTGAGAAAGAATCGACTCAAGGAGCCGAGCCCACACATGAAACGCTTGAAGAGCTTCGAAAATGATAGATGCGAGGAAACGAATGGAATGCAATAAGTACTGATATCAGCAAGGTTTATGTGAAAGAGGGTCCATGTTAAAAAAGGGTGGATATTTCAGAGTTCTCGGTTCATAATAGAAATGATATTCGATACCTGCTATAAATGAGAAACCCGTCAGCACGGCCGCTTCGATTTTGTATGGAAACCGTAGTGAATCATCTTTAAGCCACAGTGTTAAAAAAATCTAAATCCAGTCGCTGTTTGAGGTGAGCAGAGAAGCTCTATAGAAAGAGTAAACCTAATAACAATTATGGACACTTACAATGGTCTCCAGTGCTTCCACAGTGTACGCCACAGCGTACCGCCACCGCGTTGAACCGTCAGCCATATTGAAGGGAGTGAATATATGAATAACAGCGTTGATAATCATCAGTCCCTCCTCTAACACTCTCGATGTTGTTCGAACAGACTGAAAATTCCACTGATTAAGGGCCTCAGAAATGCAGCAGTGTACACTTCTACACATTTGAATTTAGAAACTTCCGAATTTCGGCAAAATGAAACTACTTTTTGTTGCCCTTTGTGGACTTTTTTCAATAGATTTTGGATAGCGTTTCTTCTGCTGTACTGATATTTTTTTTCGTTTCCAATTGTGTCGTTCTTGAACTTTATTATATGCTGTCTTTCTCAGACTTTATGAGGACTACATATTCTCGACGTTCCTTTTCTATAAGATGCAAAAATCAATGTTTGTGCCTTATTTTACGACTATGTATGACAAAATGATGACCTCAAACCCTTTCTGGTCGTGTTGTGGGCGTGGGTGCGTGTTTGTGCGTGTGAGTGTGCCTGTCTCTATATAGGTATGTGTGTAGGTGTAGATGTAGGTGCAGGTGTAGGTGTCTATAAACCCAGCGTGGCACTAGCTTTTACATTCCGCAAGGTTTGGTAGTGTTTTCAGATGATCGTACATCCCTACCTCTTTGTATTTTGCAGTTTATACGATTAAGCAGTGGATTTTCAACTTAGGTTTCAAGGCGGCGACTTCATTGCTAGCAAATTCTATGAATTACCTGGATTTGCTCTATACATAGGTTATGTAACCAATGGCTTACCACCTCATCGTGGTTGCGACGTGTCCCTGGCTGTCAGGCTGCGATGTACAGCGGGGGGATTCATCCTGGCAGGTTCTCCCAAGCTGAGAAGCAGTCCCGCGTTTCCATCAGAACACAAGAGCTGCGACTGCCTGTGGTGGTGAAGACCTAGGGAAGACTTTGGCCAACGTGTCCTCGCGATTCTAGAGAACCACAATGGCTTAACCAGCAAACCTCCGAGAAATGGAGGTTGTGTTAGCGCCGGCACAACCAGTGAGGACGGGCCGTTCAAGTATCAAGTATAGCCACAACGTTGCTGAGATATTTGCAAAACTCTGGACCGCAGGTGTCTATGGTGGAGAACGAACGCGCTATTATCCTTTCCGAGGAGTAACGCGTTCACCACCACACCATGCGGGTCCTTTGTTTCGCACGTCTCTCAGCTATTTCTATCGATCTTTTTGCCACAGCAATCACCCGTCAGCGGAGGGTTTTTATGGCAGGTTTTCTGCCTTCCCCGGAAAGGATACTCTCTATCGCCCATCCTCTGAAAAGGAATATAAAAGGCAATACCGAAAGCTAAACAATCAATGGGTTAGCGTGGCAAAGGCCGCGGGTTTAAAATCATCGGTTATTTCGCACTTTAAAATCGATAGACCAACATGTCCCGTCCTATACCTACTTATTAAAACACATAAGTTGGTATCACCTGATGATCATGCGTCAACCAATCCGTCATCATTTAAGGTTAGACCGATCATCAGCTGTATAGACGAGCCAACGGATAGAATAACCTGGTTTTTAAGCCTGATACTCACCCAGTTGCTTAACCACATTCCAGCTCACCTCACAAACACCCAAATGTTCCTAGAACGTCTACGTAACGCGTCTCCTAATAACGCGTACGTGATGGAGTCTTTCGACGTTACCACACTGTACACCAACGTATTGAATGACTCCGCAATGCAAGCCATCTTCAAACTTCTTGTTGAACATGAAGGAAGAATAAATATGCATGGCTTGTCCATCCAGCAGCTAATGGCTCTCTTAAAGGAGTGCCTAAACAGCTCGATTTTCAGATGGTCTGGGAAATATTTCGCGCAAATAAGGGGGTGGCAGTGGGACAGCGATTGGCACCAAGCCTGGCCATTGTGTTTATGTCTAAGATAGAAGCCCCTGTTCTCGATCTCCGGCCACTATTCTACTGCAGATATGTAGATGATTGTTTTGTCGTCTTCTCTACGCAGGAGGTGATGGACAAATGCTTTGAGTTATTGAACGAGCAGTCCGAGTTCATAAAGTTCACCCGGGAGAAACCGAGAGAAAACTGGCTTCCGTTTTTGGACGTCCAAATAAACCTATCAAGTAGCGGTTACCTGACAAAGCGGTATCGAAAGCCAAGTAACAAGAACATCCTTGTTCATTTCCTTTCTTCCCACCCTTCACACACAAAGAGGGCGATTGTGAGAAACATGTTTCGAACAGCCACCTCTGTGTGCGCAACCAGGGAACTAAAGGAAGAATCGCGCGACTTGGCTCTGCAATTAGCCATCTCCAATGGCTACGAAATAGTAACCCCACGAGATAAGTTTTCAAGGAGAACGACGCGCCCACGCGAAACACTTGGCCAAAAGAAATTCCCGTTCATGTTGCCTTTTATAAGCGATGAAGTAAACGTAGCTATAAAACGATGCTTAAGAAGGGCAAATCTAGAGGAATCGGTAGTGATAGTTGAAATACCACCGGCTACTCTACGTCGCCAATTAGTTCGCAACCGCCTGTATGACCG